GGCGGCGGCCGATCTGCTGTGAGCGGACCGGGAGGGGCGGTACTGAGCCCGCGACATTGGGCAGTTTTTGTCAGACCTGGGAAATGGGACAGCGGTACTTTACCCGAGCTCGAGTGTTGTGAATAGAGATAGAAAGAACCTCCGGGGGCATATTGCTGTCTCGCTGTTCACAATGTGCCTATTATAGGTAGGCACCGAATAGGCTTAAAACTGGAAATGTTTTGCATACACGAAGCCTGCAAATGCACTCTTAACCCGCACCCCGTTGGGGGGGGGGGGAATCTGCGCCCTCCCGTTCTTCGCCAATAACTTCTAAACGCGTTACGCCAGCGACGTCAAACTTTTAGTACCTTATAATACATCAATTAAGACTTTTCCTGAAAATTTGCGTGTAAAATAGGTGAAAAATAGGTGTCTGACCTCACTTGACCTGACCTTGACCTGACCTCGACCTGAAATTCATCCAGATGTGGTCCATATCACTTATTGAGTGTGCCTATTGAATTCTATGAATAAAATGACCCATATAACGTGTGTCGCAAATGCCCTTTTCTATATTTCGTTTTTGGTGACCTGACCTGGCCTTGACCTTGACCTTTGCATGATATTGTATGCAACGAATATTATCTTGGTAGCCTAAGAACACGTTTTGGGCAATCAGTCTCTGTCCATTCTTCGGCAACTACGGTGCAAGGCCGATACTGTAGACACTTGCATTTTGCACCCTTGACCTGACCTTGACCTGACCTCTGACCTACGTAAGCAAAAAAAATTGGGCTTTTAAGATCCGCTTTGTTGAGAGCTTTCGATTGCCGTTTTCCCCGTCTTTCTACGACCATCGGTTCGGAAGTTAGACAGGGGGGCAGAATCTGCCCCCCCCCCAGCAGGGCGCGTATGGCTGAATAGCCCAGCGGGCGCGGGTTAAAACCTTCGCCCCAGTGGGGGGGGGGGGCATATGTTACCACCCTGTCGCGTTTTTCGCGTGTGAATAAAAAACCGCGGCGCGTAGCGAATTTTGGACAATGTGTGAAATTTTTGACCCCAGGTCATGTCAGGTCAGGTCACCAGGTCAAGTTAAAGGTAGTGTGCCACCTTTGAAAGATTTCCCATTTTATTTTTCCTAGGATAAGAAGCTTCTGTTTTTACCTAATATCGCAAAAAAATCAAAAATGGGCCTGGAATAGTGCCTTTTTCGCCTAAAAGTTTATCGGTTTTTCGATATGTATAACAACTGTAGTGGGCTCACCTGCAAACAGGCGTCGCCAACAATCGCGAATGCGGCGCACATGTGACAATAAGCAAATGTCATTATAGTGTTACGACGTACGGGAATGAGTTATCAGCTGTCTAATCGTAGACAACACAATGTCGAGCCTTAAACTGTAAGCCTGTATTGGTATTGTTTCTTTTATTTGGCTGTCGAACATTATTTATGGTTTGAAATATGGTTTTATGTAAAATAATTGATATGAAAAAGCCGTCTCATAAGTTATGACCCCAGTTCACCACACGCAAGTGGCAGTAATGACAATGATCAGCTGACGCATTTTTCTTGGCCGAAGTCAGAGCGCGCAGCCCGACGCACCACCACCGCACCACAAAGTATGAGCAGAAGCCGCGCCCAAAGCCAGGGCCCCGGTAACGTGAGGTAGCCGAGTCGGGGCAGCGTGCGCTGACCCAAGCCGGGGCCGCAGCTTTGGGCGCGGTCTACCGCATCCCCGCGGGCAGCCCCGGGCTATCACATGACACCGGGAGGACGCGCGGCTCCGGCTTGGGTCAGCGCACGCTGCCCTGACTCGGCTACCTCACGTTACCGGGGCCCTGGCTTTGGGCGCGGTCTACCGCACCACCTAACAGGCGTGTTCGAAACCGCAGGAGCTGATGATGAACGGGTTTATCGAAACTTGATTGGATGAGCATATCGGTAATAGCGATTTCAGTGAGTGCATTTATTGTTCATAGTGGTGTGAAATGTGGTTGGGGTACGACCGACAACCCGTCGGGGCGAATTTCGCACTGGGGTACTCAAAATTTGAAGAATTTAAGACGTTTCCATGAGTTTTGAAGGTATGGATAAGTTCTAAAAATCCGGTTCTCCTTATCTGGGCCATTAACCCGCGCACCGACGGGGGGGGCGGATATCCGCCCCCCCCTGAGGTTTTTCGCGAATAGCGGGAAAACCGCGGCGCGTAGCGCCGCGAAATTTGGTATGACTATTCCTTTATCAATTTTACACATGGTGTGCAAGTTTGAACATCCTACCTTTCAAGGTCAGGTCACCAGGTCACTTTGAATGACCCAACCTCAAGTCACTTTTTTGCAACTTTGTCACCGTGCCAGAGCTACAGTAGATGTCGGAGGCCTTTGAAAGTCGCAGGATGTTATTAGGTCATTAGTAGCTACAATTTGTATATCTCGGAATTTTGATATCGGTGACCTAAGGTCAGGTCAATTTCGCGACCTCCCCATTATAAGTCAATGGGGGAAAAATCAACTCCCTGTTTTTACCACTAAAACGGGTCGGAATGGCCCCATATACCATACATGACTTCATATACGATCAACCTTCACTACCTTGAGGTCTGTTTTGCTGTTGGGCAGCTGTGAGGTCATGTGACGTCATCAAAGGTCACCAAAGGTTTTTGGCCAATAACTCCGTACAGGAACAAGATACAGACGCGTGGATGGTCTCATTGTGTTCAGCTCGTCAAGACGCATCGAATGATATACATGATGACCTCAAGGTCACGTGACCTGAGGTCAACCTTTGACCTTGACCTTTTGAGGTCAACATATATATCATTCGATGCGGATTGACGAGAGGATCACGATGATGCCCTTAGTTTGTTCTTATCTTGACTAGTTCGAAAGTTATTCGAGAAAAACTCTCTCCATATTTAGCGCCGCCATTTTGACTTTTTCGACCCCTGTGACGTCATCTTTGACCTGACCTGAAAATGACCTTAGTAAAAATTGTAGATCTTGACCGTGCGTATCCGATGCCGTTTACCGCTTGTCGCTATCTTGCTTCGTTCTCGAGATCTCAGGGGGGGGGCGGTCATCCGCCCCCCCCGTCGGTACTAAGTTGGCGCAGACCCCCGTCGGTGCGCGGGTTAACTCCATACGGTCCAGGAAAGCTGGCACACTACCTTTAACTGACCAAGCCTAAAAAAGTTTGCAATCATGTCCACTGTCCAGCCTGCAGTGTTAGTCAGAATGGTTTTAAACTTTGTGGATTGCATGATGTTATGGGCGCCTACAATTTGTACCTATATCTCGGATTTTTTTTTATATCCGTGACCTAAGGTCAGGTCAGTGGCGTGACCTTACCATTATAATTTATAAGTCAATGGAGAAAAATGAAAATGCCTCTAGATCCGTGTGTACGCATAGGAACAGTCCAAATATTTCAGAATCACAATGATTTGGACCATCCGTGACGACCAAGGTGGCGTTTTTGCTGATAGCCTCTAGAAAGGTCATCCAAGGTCATTTGAGGCTACAAACAGATTTTTGTCAATAACTCTCGATTGGAAAGAGATAGAACGCTGGGGATGGTCTCATTGTGTTTGTCTTGCCGAGACGCATCGACTGATATGCAACATGACCTTTTCCGGACAGGTCATGACCTTGACCTGAGGTCAAATTTTCAAGTTGACCTTGCAAGGTCAAATCATAGTTCATTCGATGCGTCTCAGCGAGAGGAACACGATTCTGGCAATAGAAATGTCGTGGCTTTTTTTTTAGTCAAAAGTTATTGGCGAAAAACACTTTTCGTAAAAACTGCTATTTTTGGAGTTTTTGCCCTTTGGAGGCTAAACCGTTGACCTGAGGTCAATTCTGATAATGTCCTTATCGAAAGAAGAGTTCAAGAGCTATCGATTGCTTTTCCATGTGCTTTTCTAGCTATCATAGTTTCTGAGATAAATGCATGTTTTCGGAAAATTATAATGACATTTGGCAAATGTTGACCTGTGATGACCTCCAGTGACCCCAATATTGTTCTGAGACGAAAAATGACCGAAATACTTTCAAACGTACGCATTGAGAGCTATCGATTGCTATTTACCGCGTCTTTCTAGCCCTCTTAAGTTTTTGAGCTAGAGGTGGGTGGTAACATATGCCCCCCCACTAGGGCGAAGTTGGCTGAGACCGCCACTGGGGCGCGGGTTAACCCTTCTCAACTTGGAGCTGAATGAGCTAAATTAGGAAGATACGTATGTTTGGCAAGGGTGTGGGTAGAATAATGGAAGTTTTAAAAAGGATGATGCAGGCATGCAAGTCTTGCTGCTGCCCAAATTAGCATCCGATTTTTAGCACACATCTTAAAAAAAGAATCTGCTGTGATCGAGATATGTATTTCAAGCACACTACCGGTACTGTGTCAGGTAGTTTCCACTTCCAGCGTGTTTGGCACATTCAATACGCTCGCTCATTATCCATTTTCCATCTGTTTGGGTTCCTCCACTCAGCTCATGTGCTCGTGTTCGCTGCGCCCTGCCGGGTCGCCGGCCCGGCTGTGGCCGCTGCGTGGCCCGACCTTGCCCTCTGGCCCGCTCTGCAGCCAGCCTGAATAGTCTCTCGTCTTAGCTGAGCACTGATATAGTGCACGGTATCGACGCGGAGCCGGCGGCGGGCGGGGCGGGGCGGGGCGGGGCGGGGTGGGCTGCAGTGAACAGGACCCTCCCCCCACTGCACAGTCCCCCCCCCACACACACTGTACAGTGCCCACTCCAATCTGCACAGTGACCCCCCCCCCCCCACACACACACTGTGCAGTACCCATTCCACACGGCACAGTACCTACCTACTGATAGTGATGTCAAATATAGATAATTGGGAAACCGATACCCAAACAAGTAGCAACCAAAACCATGGGAAAGTATATAGGTACCGATTCCGAACCGATACCAACTTGGTGTTTGGTAACTATTTCAATCCAATTGTTTTTGGAAATTACTTTGTTGGCATTTGTGTGCTTTCCAAATTCTGGTTTAGGTGGACTTTTCAAGATTTTTTTCTGATTTACTGTGGACATTCTGTTTTGGTGGACCCAAAAAGTCCACGTAAAAATAAACGCACAGAACACCTTTTAGCTGGACGTAAACGTATCCGAAAGAACAAGTCTGTTTCGGTGGACTCAAAAATTGTCCACCTTAGGCGCCATCTATCTCTAAACTAAAAAATTTGATGGTTCGTAGTTCCAATATCTGCCACAGACGGCGCCACCATCGGCTGGCTCTGTGTTGAAGCTCGGAAACGCACGCCTTGATCAGCGCGGGCTAGCGCGGGCATGCAGCAAAAACGTAACATGATATGATTTATAGTGTGGTCTGTGGAATGTGAAGCGATCAAAATAGACGTTTGTTTTATTTTTAAAAAAGTGTAAAAATAAATTAATTATATTATGTATCTTAGAAACCCGTGAATTAGAGTATGATGAAGTTTTGTGTAGTTGCAACAACACTGTTTTTTGTTGCGGTGTTATCGGCGCGGCACGGCTCACCACGTGGCGGTGTCAGTGTTGGGATTTGGAAGAGATAAAGCTTTGGGTGGTACTAATTTGTGTTTTTTTTTGTGCTGGGAGCTTTTTGAAGTCTGTGAGGTAAGTGGAAATTATTTGTAGACATCTATTTGTTGGATACTGGTATTGCAGAGTACCGATTTGCCATGCGATTGTTTGGGCCGGACTTGCAGGCGTCACACTTCAACTTCTTTTTGCAACCAAGGAGCGGGGCCGGATGGTCACTATACCCAGAGATGCTTTCTAATCAAACCAAACCAAAATAGACCTAACCAAACCTAACCAAACCTGACCTAACCAGTACAACCTACAACCTAAAACCTACAACCTAAAACCTACAACCTAAAACCTACAACCTAAAACCTAAAACCTACCACCTAAAACCTACAACCTACAACCTAACCTACAGCACCTCTCCTTGGTTGCTAAAAGAAGTGTTACGCCTGCTTTACGACTACCCTTGAAATGTGGCTAGCCGCTACTTGCTATTTCTTTACAAGATCTCAGGCCTCGGGGTCAATTAATGATGTAGGTACTCTGGCTCCGGATCAATTCAACAAAATGCAGGGCTGCCCTACATTGTGCACTAACCTGTTTGAAGTATGTACTTGTGTTCAGGATCCCAATCTGAATCCAGTTTAGGGGAAAACACCATGTTTATAAGTGTAGGTTTTGGGCAGTGGCGCCGGGCGCGGGAACCGGGGGCTAGCGGGGGCTGAGCCCTTCTAACTTTACCCCTAATTTGGGGAGGACAAGCTGCCCTAATAGTTCCTGGTCTCATGAAAAGTTGTGGGGCACTGCTCCCACGGCCCCAGAGTTGTGGGGGCAAGCTTCCCTCACTGCCCCCTCCCCCGGTTCCTGTGCCTCTGTATGAATCTATGAAATTATGTTGGTAGATTTCCGATTTTGATTCCTCCAGCTGTGAGGAGGGGGGGGGGGCTCAAATACATAATGAGCCCCCCAGCCGAAAAGTTGGAGGGGCTCAGCCCCCGCTAGCCCCCCCGGTTCCCGCGCCTAACTAGGTCATTCAAAGACATTTTATGGTCATGACCTCTTAGTGTATTGTCAATAGGCCAAAGCTTGAAGAGTCTCTCAATCCCAAATGGTTTTCAGCTCAGTTTTAGCATTTTGTTATCTTATGGGTCACCTTTAATGAAATTAAGACCCACTTTGGCCTTATGACCTTAACTTATGGGTGGGTCCCCCAATGACCTACCGTTATGTCCATTTTGTATATCTCAGAATTTGTATATCTATGACCTGAGGTAAGGTCAGGTCAGATTCATTATCTTTACATTACAAGCCTATGGATAAATTTGAAATGCGCACCGCTTTGTGGAAACGAGTCAAAACCACTCAAGTCTTTCAGGATTTTGACATATTGAATCATCTATGACGATCCAGGTATCATTTACTGACAGAGACAGGAAAAGGTCATCTGAGTTCGTGCGAGGTCATCAATAGTTGCTTGTCAATAAACCATGATAAATTGGCGCTAAAGACATGTAAGTGGCACCAAACTGCTTGCCTTGCCAAGTCACGCGTCGTTTGCTATACAACGTGACGTATCAACCCCGCCCCTATTGGGTCATGACCTCTCCCCCACCAGAGGTCAAGTTTTAAATTGGCCTTAATGAAGGTCATCAAGTATTTGTTTCGAATCGCCTCGACAAGAGAAGCACAATGGTGTCAATTTTATGTCTTTATTCAAAAGTTTTATCTACTATACTTAGGTTACTATTTCAATAACATTTTATTTTTATGACCTCTGGTGACCTCAATATTGACCTGACGCATTTTTATTTAAAAGTTGTAGCTCTTTGACCGACCTATCAAACGCCGTTTGCTGCGTCGATGCGTGGTTTTCGAGAAATAACGGGGGGCTGATAAGCCTGCCCTGCCTGCCCGGAATCTTACCTTTCAGAGCCCGCCCGGAATATGGTTTAAGGGTGTATACTGTATACAGCGGTGTCCTTTGCCCAGTTTTTTTTATTTTTTAAGTTGCCCAACATGCCGTACTCAACCATACAACTGACCTTTTAGCATCATTTGTGTATAACACTGCAAATTGCACACATCTCAGCCATTTAAATGTAGCGATTGAAGGCATAATGCCAGTTGCCTCATAAAATATAATGGTACCTATATACCTAAGTGTGTTGTTGAGAAGGTCAACAATGTAAGGTTTTCAAGTGAGGAGTAAAGGCCAGCTCTAGAGTGCATTGTACTAGGAACCGTTAATACCTTGTTTGAAAGTCTATTTTTCTTGACCTTTTAATTCAATTCGTTGTTGGAAAATTGCAGTGGCAACAAAAATTATGAGTCACCTGCTGCATGCCCGTTGGCCATACAGATTGTCTTCTTTCTGCCTTAGTTACTAAAAGCGGCTAAAGAAAGATAAATGCTTACAGAAAAATCTCACCATACAGGCTTTCTTTCCAGGTGACTTGTTAGCTATCTTACATGCAGGCTTTCTTTTCAGGTAGCTTGGATGTTCAGGCCACTTTGATAGTCCAAGATGCTGTCTGGTACTAATGTACGCAAGGTAAGATGTGGGGTCATCCAATCTGTTTTATGTGTCTGCATTTAACAATCTCCATATCCAAATAAATAAAGTAATATTTATTTCGAAAGAACCATTCTGTATTGAGTTACTTCTGCCGTGCCTGTGAATCGTGAGAGGCAGTTTCACTGCCTCAAAAGTTAGAAATATGTCCTTAAATTAAAGTGGGAATGGGGAAGTAGGGTTAACCATCATTCTCCTTCGTTGCGCGTATAAAAGACCCATTGTTCTTTGAGCTGTTAATTATTTCCCTTCCCTTTCGAGACGTATGTGAAGGACAGAAAATTGATTTTTAAATTCAAGGTGATGCGAGTAGATCATCACAGGGTAACCAACACTAACAAACTAACTAACACAGGATAGTAAAACTAACTTTTGTTGAGAGGAACGGCCGAAAACGTAGGCAAAGTTTGGCGGCGCTACGCACGGTAATTTTCCGCTCAGCTCAGAAAAAATACGGGTTGGCCGTCCAGACTGGTCCAGACGCCCCTTCCCGGCTCGGCGCGGATTAGTGGGAGTGAATGAGTGAGTGAGTGAGTGAGTGAGTTACATTAACCCGCGCCCGGCTGGGGGTCCTGGATTTCCACGCCCTGCTGGGGGGGGGGGGGGGTGTTTGAACACCCCTCCCCTTCTAACTCGGCTCCTGGGCCACGTAGCGATACGCGGAAGGCGGCGTTCGAAAGAGCGCCAAAAATAATGACGAAATCACTACGGTCAATTTTTTGGTCAAATCAAAGGTCAGGTCACCAGAGGTCATTGAAGGCAAAATTTCGCCGATTTCCAGGTCGAATGTCGACAATTTCCATGAAGCCAACGCATAACTCGGGAACCAATAGAGGTAAAGCGCCGCGGAAAAGCGCATTCGATAGCCCTATTAACGCCCTTTCTGAATAATTCTCTCAGATTTGACCTAACGTCAACGGTTTTGCATGCAGGGGGCAAAAACTGCAAAATAGCCGATTTTTTCGGAAACAGTTTTTCTGCAATGATTTTTTACCCAAGCCTTGTACGAGCTTACTTTTACCGACATCGTGTTCCTCTCGTCAAGACGCATCGAATGAACTATAACTTGACCTTGAAAGGTCAACTTGAAAATTTGACATCAGGTCAAGGTCATGACCTGACCGGAAAGTGTCATGTTGCATATCAGTTGATCCGTATCGTCGAGCTGAACACATCTAAGGCGTTTTTATCGCTCTAGCATGCCTCTATCAAAAGTAATTTGCGAAAAACTGTTGATGCCATTCGTGACCTAAGATGACCTCAGGGCATAAACAGGGGTCATGGACACCATTTTCATGTTCAGTGTGTATAAATTACTTGTAATTCAGTGTTTGGGAGTGTTTATAATGTCTTTCGTCCAAAAGAGGCGCATTTCAATTTTCTCCCATTGACTTATAATGGGGAGGTCGCAAAATTGACCTGACCTTAGGTCATCGATATCAAAATTCTGAAATATGCATTTTGTACATGCTATTGCTCTTAGCAATCTCTGAAAGTTTCAAAGCGATCGGTCACTCGGTGTAGCTATGACAGACATTGAAACTATGAGGTGAGGTCACTTCAAGTGACCTGGTGACCTGACCTTGAATGACCTTGGTCTGAAATTTTCACAACATGTGTAGAATTGATGTGTGATAAGGCGTACAAAAAACGAGCGCCGTTTTTGAGATATTTGCGAAAAACCATAAGGGGGGTGTTCAAACACCCCCCCCCCCAGCAGGGCGCAGGTTAAGGGGGCGCATGTAAATGAATTAATCATTCCTTTCTACCCGAATTATGAATGATGAATTGCGTGTTACCATGATAACCCTTCTATTTTTTTTTAAATCATGGTGTGTCAATTGAAGTGAGGTAATATTTCTTTTTTTTTTAGAAGCGACCAGCAGCTGTTACTTCTGGACGAAGGAGGAAAGTGGCGAAAACTGTTCAGGTAAGTGTTCGTTCAGTATCCATATGCGAAAGACATTATTCATATTTCGTAAGCACCACAATTGTTTCTCATTTTGTTAATGCTTAGCTAGCAGACAATTTCATGAAGGTTTACTGTGGGTCAAACCTGGTTTGCTGATACAACTTTTACTGAGGGCATTATTAAAGGGATAAGTCCCGCGGAAGCAGCCAGGTAGCGCCTACACAATATGCAATGGCGCCTCACTTGCACCTACTTGTGTGTCTGGTCGGGACTATCTCTTGTGGTATTAATTTAAAGAGACGCTAAAATTGTATTGAACGTAATGTTTAATTTCTCCTGCGTACTTGCTCTTAATCGGTTATAATCTAAGCAATTAGTAATGAGCCAAGTTACAGATAAAACGGCCAAGTTATGATTGATGGCCAAATGTTGCCTTGAGCAAAATAAGGCAAAATGTTTCATCAACAATTACGATTTAATTTCGGATTTTGAAAGATTAGTTTTTAACTTCTCTTTTATATAGCTGATATCGATAAGACGACGCGCCACTATTACCTATCATCAGCCTCTTTTTGCAGGCTGAACACTAAAGCTAACAGTGCATTAGGAACACGTGGAGGGGGGGGGGGCGAACTTACCAATTAGTTAAGCTAAATTGAAGAAAAGGTAATTGACGGAATCGATTTTTTCAGGATCTCTATTTTGTGGAAAGAATATTAGCCCACCAGTGGAAAGACGGCAACATGATGTACCTCATCAAGTGGCAAGGTTTCAGGTAAGCGTTGGAGAGTGGGGATAACTGGGACGCGGGAGAAGTGGGACACCTTCAATATCTTAGTGACCGATTGGACAAACAATTTTGTTTTTGCATATTTTCTCATGAATTCCGTTGGTGTGCAGACTTCATCGTATCATGTACTTGTATCTATTCCCGGGAATGCGGTGGGACCGCTGGCTCTTGAGATAAAGGGACCAGGCCTTCTGGTTCTTTCCATGGTTGTTCAAAGTGGGCGTTTGGTTGCGTCATCCTGCTGGAATGTCCTGGTGGTTATCGCAGTAATAGCATGGTCTTTCTTGGCCCCTGTTTCAACATATGCAGTATATTGTGTCGATGCGGGTAGCCTCGACACTTTGTGTGCACTAGGGTTAAAAAAGAAAACGATTCATTGATCGGTCTGATGGCTAGGGTCATTCATTCCTTGGTTTGGGAATCACCGAATAGGCCTCTGAACCCGTTGGAAACGTCATTGTGAAAAGGACATTGATATGCTTTTACGTTAAATCAGTTATTTTATTGATTAGGTTCCTTTTAAAACTACAGAAACTGCATTCTGCCTAACCAGTAGTGAATAAAAGACATTCTTTAGCATGTTAACTGGTCGAAATTTATGGGTTTAGAATTGAAATAATTCACTCACATTATTTTATTTCACGCACACACTCGCGACATAATTCAACTACCTAAGGGCGACGCCTTGTTTGGGTGTCGCGGGCCGAAGGTTGTGTTTTGCATTTGTGCTAGGGGTCTTGCCATGGAGGATTCCATTGAAAACCTGAGGATGACGGAATCTTTCCCCACTCGCAGGGAATGGGGCTAAAGATCCCGAGATACCGGTGACATGGAACATTTACGGTGCGACGCCGCGAGAAAGAAGCCATCTAGCTTCCAAAGATAATCCACTTCTACTTGATTGTTTTTTTTTGTTTTTTTGTTAAGCTGGCCTTCTGACATCCTTTCCTTTTCCAAAGGATGCCTACGTGGGAGCCAGCGCAGAACCTGAATCCTGTGATCCTTCAAAAGTACCACGGTAAGAGCCATACATTATGCATTCCAGTTAGCTAAACAAATCTACGGCTTGTGTTTTTTATTGGGTTTAGGTGCATGCAATTGTGACTTAAAAGAGCGTTTAATTTTTCAGTCGTTGCTTGTTTTGTTGTGCTTTATCCCATGTTTGGTTTTTGATGGACTCCATCCTTTATAAGAGCTTTCTACATCAATTTATGATGCGATTTGTTTTCTTGAACGCTGCGAAAGTCAGTGGGTGGTTTCCCCAGGGCGTGTGACTGGTCTGCCCATTGCGTGTCATATGAGCCAAATGATGTGGCAGTCGGGTGCCCCTAAAACCAAAATCATTAATTGCCGTGTGTGTACTGTGTACCTATATTTGTGCCTTGTGATTGTGTATGTACAAGGGGGGTGTTTGAACACCCCTCCCCCCTGTGGTTTTTCGCGAACATCGCCGCCGTTTTTGGCACACCTTATCATACATCAATTCTACACATGTAAAAATTTCAGACCAAGGTCGTTCAAGGTCAGGTCACCAAATCACTTGAAGTGACCTCACCTCATAAAAAGTTTCAATGTCTGCCACAGCTACACCGAGTGACCCATCGCTTTGAAACTTTCAGCGATTCCTAAGATCAGTAGTATGTATAAAATGTATATCTCGGAATTTTGATATCGGTGACCTAAGGTCAGGTCAATTTTGCGACCTCCCCATCATAAGTCAATGGGAGAAAAATTGAAAGGCGCCTCTTTTGGACGAAAGCCATTATAAACACTACCGAACACTGAATTACAAGGAACTTAGACACACTGAGCATTAAAATGGTATCCATGACCCCTGTTTATGCCCTTGAGGTCATCTCAGGTCACGAATGGTATCTAACAGTTTTTCGCGAATAACTTTTGATAGAAGCATGATAGGGCGATGAAAACGCCTTAGATGTGTTCAGCTCGACGATACGGATCGACTGATATGCAACATGACCCTTTCCGGTCAGGTCATGACCTTGACCTGAGGTCAAATTTTCAAGTTGACCTTCCAAGGTCAAATTATGGTTCATTCGATGCGCTTGACGAGAGGAACACGATGCCGGTAAAAGTAAGCTAGTGCAAGCTTGGGCAAAGTATTACAGAAAAACTGTTCCGAAAAAAATAGGCTATTTGGCAGTTTTTGCCCCTGCAGGCAAAACCGTTGACGCTAGCTAGTCAATCTGAGAATTACTCAGAAATGGCGCTCATAGGGCTATCGAATGCGCTTTCCGCGGCGCTCTATTGCTTCCCGAGTTATGCTTTGGCATTTGGAAATTGTCGACATCGACCTGAAAATCGGCGAACATTTTGACTTCAAATGACTCTGGTGACCTGACCTTGACCTGACCTTTGACCTGACCAAAAAGTGATGAAGTGATTTTCTCATTATTTTTGGCGCGCTTTCGAACGCGCCTTCCGCGTATCACTAACGTGGTCCAGGAGCCGAGTTAGAATGGGGTGTTCAACCCCCCCCCCCCCCCAGCAGGGCGTAGAAATCCAGGATCCCCAGCGGGGCGCTGGTTAAAGGAGCTAGGCGC